TCCTTGAAGCTTGGAAAGAATGGGAGAACTCCAACATCTGGAAAAACTTAGCTTGCCTCGCTGTTATGTAAGCCTTAAACTAGACCACCCCAGCTGCACCAACAAAGTCCACTTCTTCTGTGAAGCTTCAGAGCGGGCCTACGGGTGTGTCAGATATCTGTGTGCTGAGGATCTACACGGCCAAGTTGAGTTGGCATTCATTACTGCCCAATTGCGAGTAGCTCCCAAGAAACAACTTTCAATGCCCAGGCTGGAGCTATGTGCCGCTCTCACTGGCACTCAACATGCCCAAGTTTTGCAAAGGGAACTAACAGTGAACATCGCCCGAGTTATCCTGTGGACAGACTCAACGACTGTTCTTAACTGGCTCCAGTCTGGTTCCTACCACTTCAAGGTATTCATAGGGACATGAGTTGCTGAGATCTGGGAGCTGACTAAAAACAGAGACTGACATTATGTTGACTCCTTAAACAACCCAGCTGATGACATCGCAAGGGGAAAGACCCTACTGGAGCTGGAAGGTGAAAATCAATGGACCGAAGAACCTTCCTTTCTGTGGCTCTCACCTAAACATTGGCCAAATAGCCCAACGGTTCCCAGAAAAGAGGATTCAGAAGACCTACAAAAGCCTATTTCTTGCCTCAACACTGTCACAGACACCTGCCCCTCCCCTCCTGACCCCAAAGAGTTTGAATGTTTTGCAGACCTAATGAAGGCCACTGCAGAGTATCCGCACAAGGCAACTCCATCTGATTAAAATGGGCCTACAGCTGAAACACATCAGAAAGCAGAATTGGAGATCCTAAGAGATGCTCAAAGAGAGAGTTTCCCAGAAGAGACCCAGTGCCTTTCTGCTGGTAAACCAGAACCATGATAAAGAAGTGCACATCATTTGTGTTGGTGGAAGACCACATAGATGTATCCAGCTGGAACCAGAAATGGTTCATCCAATTTTGCTGGATCCAAAGCACCCAGGATGCTCATTTGGCATTTTGACAAAGCACACTGGTTCTGAAAGACTCCTTTCTAATAGCCCTGAGGAGGTTCATTTCTCACAGGGGCAAGCCTGCTGAATTACTCCGACCAAGGGAATAATTTAAAAGGAGGTGAAACGAAAAAACCCTTCATTGCAAAGTAAACTCACCTGGCTGAACACCAGATCTAGTTCATCTTCAACCCCCCTAATGCACCGCACTTTGGAGGTACCTGGGAAAGGGACAGTTCCATAAAGACAGCCATGAATGCCACCCTACATGCCCAAACTGTGACTGAGGAAATGCTCAACACCATCCTCATTAAAATCGATGGAATCCTGAATTCCAAGCCCCTAGGTTACGTCTCAACTGATGTGGCTGACCCAGACCCAATTACCCCAATCTTCTTTTGATGGGGTGGCTAGATCCATCATTGCCACAAACCATTTACCATGATTCCAATCTACTCAGTCGGCGGTGCTGGAGGGCCTTTTAAGTACTTGCTGACAGATTCTGGTCACAGTTCTTGCAAATCCGGGAGAAAACAAACGCAAACAGACACATATCCCCTCCAACCAAACACAGTGGTGCTCATATACCCAGAGCACTATGGCCAATTGGACGGATAAGCAAGGTGTTTACAGGAGCTGATGCGTACAGCAGAAGTTAAAATGAATGACCGTCCGGACCTTTGTCAGACCTGTCACCCATCTGATCTGCCTCCCTGCTATCTCAGATGATGAGGAAAAGAATCCCCAATAACTGCAAATTTGGGGGCGGCTGTTGAAAAGTAAGGTGCAAGCCAGTCCAGCAGACTGTATTATTATGACTGCCTGAAATACTATTGCGATCTTACGCATCATTTTAGTTTGTAGTGAATAGACAAGCAGAACGAAACCAGGACTTTCAGTGTTGTTTACATAAGCCGTGTTTCCACTGAAATTACCCGTAACAATTTGTCCCAGGAACTTTTTTCCCAGGAACTTTTTTTTGCCCCAGACCGGTTGCTTTCTAAATTTACACCACGGCCTAAAGTACCGGGAAGATTATGCAAATTAGTCTGGTGACGTAGAACTGCACACTCCCAGTCTGCACGGACAGTAATCATTTTTGAGCAACACGTTAATAACAAGTATGGAGGAGATTCAAGCTGTGCTGCTTTTGTTTGTGATGTATTGGTTTACTAACGAGGTAATTAACAAAACGGCAGAAAAGAGACCAGCACTGATACAAAAGCATATTCAGAAAGCTCGTAATGCTTGATATAAAGTTAGACAACGTATGTTATCAGCTATTGTTGACCGTGTTGTTGACCAACGTATGTTATCAGCTATTGCGGACATTGACCGTGAGATGGCTGGGACAAATGCGTACCATCGGTCAGAAAGAACAAGATTGGTAAGAAATGAATCCATCAAAATAAACCAGAGTTGTGAATAATGTTATTATCTAACTTATTTTTTTGCCACTTTTGTGTGTTTTAGATATGCGATTACTATCAAATGCGTCGTGTTTCTTGATCGGTTTGGATACACAATAGAACAACGGGATGGTGGGACAGCATTTCCGGATGTCTAAGGATACTTTTCTGTACCTCTGTCGTCGATTGCAACCCCAACTGGAGAGACATGACACAAACTACCGACATTGTGTACCCATTCAAAAAAGAATCGCCATTGCACTGTGGAAACTTGCGACCAACTCAGAATATAGAAGCATCTCTCATTTATTTGGAGTCGGAGTTACTGTGTGTCACTGTGTTCACGATTTCTGCTCATCTGTTGAGATAAGGTACTCATGCAAGAAGTTATCCAGTTACCAAACAGTGAAAAGTTAAAAGAAATGGCGGCGTATTTTGAGCACAGATGGGGTTTGCCACAGTGTGTTGGTGCAATTGATGGATCACACATCCCCATTCTTGGACCAGAGGAGTAGCACACAGAGTACTTCAACCGAAAGGGCTGGCATTGGATCACAGGCTTTTGTGGATGGAAGGGGGAATGTTTTTTTAGGAGCGCCAGGGAGCCTGCATGATGCCAGAGTGTTGCGTTTGTCAGGATTGTGGGACCTAGTGGATAGGGGTTTGTTACTACCTGATGTAACAAAGAATATTTGTGGACATGATGAGGGGTACTATGTCCTTGGTGATGCAGCCTATCCTTTGAAGAGCTGGCCGATGAAACCTTTCACAGACAACGGACGACTGACACCCCAACAACTTGTGTACAACCAGAAAACAAGCAGAGCCAGAGTGGTGGTTGATAATGGTTTCGGCAGACTAAAGGGCAGATGGAGGTCTTTGCTAAAACGATCAAATCCTTGGTGATAGCATGTTGTGTTCTGCATAACCTCTGTGAAATGTGATGAGTACAGAGAAGAATGGGTTACGGGTACATTCAACCAGCCTGACGGGGCACTGCCATCCACTGTAGAGGCCGAGGGTCTAGATGCACGTACAGGTCTAATGACGTTTTTGACTACAATGTAGTAAACTGCAGTATCACTGGTTACAGACCAGAAACTTTTTTTTTTTTTTTGTTTAAGGGAAAAACAACAAAAAATGCTTTTTTTAATGCTGTATGTGTTGTACATTGTTTTTGCTGCGTAACACTTTCTTTTTGTAAATAAAAATTATTACTTCTGAATCATGCTTTGGTTTTCTTTTATTCTGTTATCACCCCCAATTTGTACAGAGAGAGCATAAATGATATGCCTGAAATAAAATGATTTCTGCTCATTTGTCCTTGTTAACCAAATTATCTTCATAAAGCTGACACTTGAGTCAGTGAATATAGAAACATAATGCAACAATTTTTTTTTTTTTTTTTTTTTTTTTTTTTTTTTTGGGTCTGTAATAATAAATATAAAATGTAATTTCATAAGTGACTGTTATCAGGTTGTTAAACAAATTACCTACACTCTGCTTATTTTAACCTGTGCACTTTCAACCTGGTTTAAATACTGAGCTTAGTGATGTATAATGGATACATACTTCCTCAGAGCATTGTGAATATTATTACAATGTGGAATGTGTCTTTTTACATTGTAATATTGTAGTATATACTTAGCGATATAGTTTGAGTGAAATGTTTTAACATCTAACCAGCACTTCAAACCTTACCGTATGAGCTTTATCATGGAAATGAAAAGGCACTTGATAACAAGAAAGTGACATTTTACAAACTTTATTTAACACAAAGGTAGCAATAAATTATGAGAACAGTAAAATATTACTGTGCAAAGAAAAACAAATACAAATGTATTTTTGAACAACTGGACAAACTCAAAGAGAGAGAGAGAGAGAGAGAGAGAGAGAGAGAGAGAGAGAGAGAGAGAGAGAGAGAGAGAGAGATGCACCACTGGATCTAACACATTTAAAAACTATGAGATTTATTATAGACCAAAACTGGTAAGTAGGTTGGTAAGTAGGCCTAAGTAAAAAAAAAAAAAAAGATAAACGAAAATAGATGCATACAAATAAATAAAGATACATACAAATAAATAATAAAAAATGAATAAAGATACATAAAAAAATAAAGATTAATACAAAAAGTAAGTAAATAAATAAAGATAATTAAAAATATAAATAAAGATAAACAACTAAATAAATAATAGTGAAAAAATAATAATAATAAAAATAAATAATAATAATTTAAAAAAGTAAAGAAACAAACTCGTCCAGTATAACTATAGAACATTTATCACTAATAAACTCAGTCGACCCAATAATAAACAGAATGCCTTATATACACCTTTCTTGAATATTTTAATTTAATGAATTTAAGTTAACTGTTTGGGTCCGCAAACTTTTTTTTTATTATTAAATGCTTGGAGAAAAGAAGAGAGAGAGAGAGAGAGAGAGAGAGAGAGAGAGAGAGAGAGAGAGAGAGAGAGAGAGAGAGAGAGAGAGAGAGAGAGAGAGAGAGAGAGAGAGAGAGAGAGAGAGAGAGAGAGAGAGAAAAAAACATTCCCAACATTTAAAGTTGGGAAACCCTGACGTAGACGATATTGCAGGCGGTTCAACGTCATTTCCGCCTGATGGCCTGAAAATGCAGGCGGCCATATTATATTAGCAAACACACTCACGCAGTAGCAGCAGTTTGTTTATGCTTGTGAATTGCAGATAAATATTTACCAAAACTCTCTCAGTTTAGTTGAAGTGATCGTGTGACGATGAGCGGCGGCACGCCGTATATCGGCAGTAAGATCAGTTTGATCAGTAAGGCGGAGATCCGTTATGAGGGCATTCTCTACACCATCGACACCGAGAACTCAACCGTCGCGCTCGCCAAAGGTCAGGAAACACTCTTTACACACAAAAAGACTCTTCAGTTCGTGTTACGCGTAGTATTGCGAGGGTACGCGTTGTATTTAGCATCGAGGCTGCGTCTCAAAATGTAGTGCGCTCCCTAAACAGACAGCAGTGTTGAGCACTGGAGCCTCGTGCGGCAGTGTAGGGCTTCATAAGCGTGTTTCAGTTTACTTTGCATCATATTAACCTGCCGTAGTTTTGGGCATCATAACGGCAAAGTTAACGCGTCTGTCGTGTTCAAAACACGCAATCTGGCTGTTCGCTAAGATTTTAGCATGTGTTAGTGTGTTTAATGTAGGATTAACTCCCTCTGGATAGATGTTAACATTACATCGAAGTGATGCATTCTCTTACAAATGTGCCATGTTAACCAGAGTTTATGCCAAAATACCACAGTTACTGTTGCTACTGTAACATCTTTCCCCATTTAAACAGTGTAAGCGGTGTAATCAGAGTTGTTTTCTCATGCTAGTGGTTGCTAATACAAAGTTACCACAGTTTTATGATAATAAGTATAGTCACTGATATTTTGGATGAAATGATAAATGCTCAACCTTTATACCTTGCATGCATAGATAACTACTGCATTAAGGGATCTCTAATGTTTTATTGCCACTCTTTTCTGTGATTCAAATCATAATACTATCTCAACGTCCTTTTATTGATGCTATTAATATAGCACACATTTAAGCTCCCCTTTAAAAACTCCCAGACACTATTTTAACAATTTCAAAATGGTGATTCGCTGTCTGGCCAACTTTGATATGAAGATGAATGTTAGGATTGTGATTTTTGGTAGTACTAAAGCAAACTGTGAGCGTATATTATTAGCACCATTTTGTTGTTTTAAAGCTGTGATGTCAAACTTAACAACCGGATTACTTGCCAAGCAAAAGCTCTCCAATTTTAAGAAGATTAGAGTCAAACCTCCGAGAAGACTAATTTATTACGAATTACTTGGATGAAAGCTCATTAAAAACTCATGTTTGGCTCTCTTAATTCTCGTTGCAGTGCGCTCCTTCGGCACGGAGGACCGGCCCACGGACCGTCCCATCGCACCCAGAGATGAGACGTTTGAGTACATCATATTCAGAGGAAGTGACATCAAAGACCTGACAGTGTGTGAACCTCCCAAACCGACATGCTCTCTGCCTCAGGACCCCGCCATTGTTCAGGTACACACAAGAATGCACTCAGTAGCTGATTCCTGTACAAATGAAGGTTTATAATATGCTTGACTCACAAATAATGTGTTTTTGGTGCATATGGGCCAAAGTCTAGAGAGCTTTTATCTGAGTCTACTGTTAGATCCTTCCAATACTTCTGGAAAGCCAAGAATGTGGATCCAGTCTTTTTTACCAGATCCGGTCCTGAACCAATTTACAGATTTTCTCTGGTACCCAAACCTGTCATTAACTGTCTTCTTTCAGCCAAAGAAGCAGGAGGGAGTTGTGATTGTAAAAATGAGCTTAAAAACATCATCCTGTGATGTTAAAAACCTAAAAATGGAGGCTTCCTCTTATCTCTATCCTGTGAAGAGAAATATATCCCATGAAACCACATAAGATTAAACAAGAAGCAGCACTACAAGTGTGAGGAAAAATAAGTATTCAAATATAATTAAATCGTTCTAAATAAATAAGAGAAACCGTAAAGAAAAGAAAATGCAACACACACACGTGATTAATCTCTTCAGCTCATTAATACAGGTTGCGATTAATAATTCCTTTGATTTCCTGCCTGACGTACTAATTACCACATGTCCGCCGTGGACTCATGACTTCACCACTCCCTGTGGAGCTTTTTTCTGACACTATCCGACTAATTCATATTTGGTCAACTAAGGGCACATTTACACACAGCCGGGTGTTTAGAGAAACGAATATCCCCCCCGCCTCCGTTTTCAATAATAACATCGTGGGCATAACATCGTTCTCAAAAAAGTTGTCATTTACATCAACCCGCATAAATACGCCGTCGAGCGCCATCATATCTCTGGCGCATAATGTGACGCTTGAGAACCTAAAACCCCGTTTCTCCCAGTCGACACGGCCACACATAACCGGCGTTATCAGAAATCTCCACTTTGGCCGGAGTTTTTAGAAATTCTGTGATAAAAACGGAAGTATCTGCGTCTTCCCTTCGTGTAAACGGGGCGTAAGCCTCTTCTCGGCGACTAACGTTTGCTCTACTATTGTGGGGCAACCCTAGATTTCTGTAATACCTAGTAAATCAGTTGTCTGGATGTGGGCGTTACAGTAGGCCATGTGGATACACATGGGTGTATTAATTGCATAAAATTATTTCAACTGAATATGTTAATTTTAGGGCCGGGACTCGATTAAAAAAACTAATCTAATTAATTAGAGGCTTTGTAATTAATTAATCGCATTTTAATCGCATAAATATTTGACCTGAGAACTGTGAGAAGTCATTTTTTTCACATGGATTTTTAGTATACCATTGAATAATGACTGCATACATAAGCTTAAGCAACAAAATATTGTTTATTTTTGTTCAACCAAGTCCAGCAGACCAGTGCAATTTTTGCCATTAAGTGTAGCAATAGCATATTGCAACAAAATAGCATATTGCTACACTACACTAATAGCAATAGCGAATTCCTTGTTGCATAGCTTGCACACAACCATGCTCTTATCGACGCGTCCATCCGTTCGTTTTTTGTAACAACATTTCCCAGCCACCGGCCAACCAAAGCGATCTCGTCAGCTTCTTTCTTTTACTGTCTATGCTTCTTCGTCATGAACGCTAGTTGGTGCGCCAGTATAATCGGTCCGCCGAAACTCATCCAGTGAGAAACGTTCCGCGGTGCAAAAATAAGTGCGATTAAAAAAAAAAATTCTGTGTAATTAATTAACGCGTTAAAGTGTGTAATTAATTAATCTTAATTAACGCGTTAAAGTCCCGGCCCTAGTTAATTTGTTTAAATAGATTTTCTTTTAACATTGGATTGGATGCCTGTTATTTTTGCAAAAGGTTTACCAAAAAATGTCTGACTCCATACGTCCAGAGACGAGGATTTGGATGTCATTTTGCTCTGTAGTGAGCACCACTTGTACTCCACGAAGCACAACAAAAGTCAAAACTAATGAGAAACATGACAATACAATATTTACAGTTAAAAGCATTCATGTCAGGAAGAGTTTTTTTTTTTTTTTTTTTAGAAGATGACAGACTTGCTGAGAAAGTAAATTTGTGAGGTTGTGTGAGGGGGAAAAACAGAATTGTTTAAGTTACATACGCATGGAACACAATTTAAATGTGTATGAAACCCAATATTATATTTAAATAGCCAATATAGGTATTTAACCCAACCCCCCAAAGCTAGTTCCATCTGTAAAGATCTTACGATACCGAAAGTTTCTGTCTAGTTAGGCAGCTCAGCTTTCATATGCCGAAACGAGCGAGAACCTGTACTAAGAATTTAAATATGTGAGATTTTTTTCATTATACGTAATTCTTAGATTGAGTGGTGTTGGTTTTCAGTTTGTCAGTGGCTCTCATTCATGAAACATTCGTAAATATACGTGATTTGCGCGTAAAGAGACCTTCCCGAAAACTCTTCTCCTGATTCACAAATACTTCGTAAACGTCAGATGTGATAGTGAAATGTGTGTGTGTGTTAATGAATTCCAATCAGTCGTAAATGGGATGCGCGTGCACGTTCATTCTCAATTACCATAAATCCCGCCCATTAAATCCGACTGACAACTATATATGGGCATCATATTATGACATGATGCGAATGAATTTTTTTTTCTCAGATGCAGAAATTGAAGTTTTATTATCAGAAGTTCATTCAAAACGCCACATTTTATTTTCAAGCGTACATAGTGGCGTATCGGGTCCTAAAAAAAAGGAAGCTTGGCAGCATATTACAGATGCAGTTAATGGAGTTTCATCTGTTAATCAAACATTCCCAGAAGTGAGAAGAAAATGGTTCGACATTAAGCTTGAGAGCAAAAAACGAATTAGTTCACTTCGGAAAAATAGTATTCAAACTGGAGAAGGACCACCATCGCAGATGCTATTACTGGCTCTCATAATAAGAAAAACCGTATGTAATTACTATATATAATATTTTTTCAAAATGCTGTGCAAATATGTACCCGATTAAGGTGAATTAAAATGCAGCCTTAGTTATTAATGAGCAAAACGTTCGGGTGTTAAGCGCACTATTTACGCGTGGCCGGGAGCAGGTGTAGATTTCTTGTGTACCAACTAACATTTGGAAAATACGAACATTTTAATGAATCCGAAAATTTACGCCAGAACCACTTTACACACGATTTACACACAAATCCGTTCTGCTCGTGTTTCATGAATGAGACCCATTGCTCGTAGTGTAAAGGCTCTTGCACACTGAGTCCGAAATTTTCGTATGCGTTTTTTCGTATTCGTGATTTGGTGGCTCTGAAATGTCAAAACACCATTCAAACTGCTTTCTACGGATGTGAAAAATCGATCCCGATCCGAATTTCGGACTCAGTGTGCAAGGACCTTAATTCTTGACCAGTTGACCTCATTATGCTTTCTCCTTTTCTCATCTGTTAGTCCTCTCTGGGATCTTCTGCCCCACCATCATCTTTCCAGTCAGGAAACTCCTACGGGCTGTTCAGTCGTCCACAGGTCACGGCATACCCTCAGTTCAACCCTGCCCCGCTGGTCTCGCCACAGTTCGGGACGGTCGGTGTCGGTAAGTGTCCTCTCACAGCTCTGCTGGGGATGTTTCAGTTCAAACTGAACACAGGAGGGGTGTAACAAAACCCTCATGTCACTCTTCGATGCATCTCACGATACGATATTATTGCGATACTCCAAGACCTTTGATAAAAGGTTAAAAAGTTTTTTACTGTTGATTAAAATGGTCAATTTGGTATAACATTGTGAGTGTGAAAATGAATAGACTTTGACTTAGTGCTGGAAACCCAATGCACAGGATAATAGTGACACCAGAATAAAAATATTCATGATTCTGGCCCTGAAAATACAGAATTATTTTAGACGCTTTTTACTGGTAACAGAAGATATTTGGCATCATCAGGACCCACAAATATTCCCCTATTGCATTATTAGGCTATACATTATATTCAACATTATAATAGCAGTTTAATGTAGTACTGACACTAAAACTCTCACAATTTTAATATTGTGAAATACTATTACAATTTAAAATAACTGTTTTCTATTTTAGTATATTTTAAAATGTAATTTATTCCTGTGATGCTGAATTTTCAGAATCACTACTCCAGTCTTCAGTGTCACAAAAACCAGTTGTGCTGCTTAATACATTTTGGGTGAAATATACACAATATTGTCACTATAAACTGTACACATTGTTACATTTTTGTATTCCGATATAATGTTACACTCCTAATGAGAGGCATATTTTTATAACTTAGCCTACAGCTGGAGAATACTTCAAGACATCCAATAATTTTTTACAAGGCGCTGTCGAGCAGAAGTGACAGAACAGGGTATTGGATGATCCTGTGGCACTGCTGATGTGTGTGCCTGCTTTTCCTTTCCTCACAGGAAGGTCTTTGGGATTTTTTGTTAGTGACACTGGCATGACTGCGCCACTGCCTCAGAGCAATGCTATTGCCTCTGCTTTCAACAGTGACACTCTGTGTGCTTTCGTAGCAGAAGGTAAACCATTCCCTGGGGACCGAAAACAAACTATTTAAGGTTTATAAACCAAATGATTTGGGTTTATCTAACCGTCAAATGAAATCAAAATGTTACTAACAATTGGTCAATGTAAAATAAAGCCTTGTGTTCAGAACTCAGCAAGATCCCACCCGTTTGGTGGTCTTTGTGTCTGTTGTCTCTTTTGTCTTTTGAAAGTTTCGTATGTAAGAGTTTCGTTTCTCACTCAGAGGCAGTTTTAAGGCACCTGCATGTAGAGGACAAATTAAGAGGTCTAGTGGTTTTCTGACTACCATAACTCATGGGCAACAAACACGCTGCAAACCTTTGGGAATAATAATCACATTTAAATGGGGGAGTGAATTATGTGAGCAGAATACAGGAGTTGATGTCAAAATGGCTGAGAACCAAAATCCAATTTTCCGAAATATTGGCAAAATTCTAATTGTATTCGAATTCTTAAGGCAATACTTAATGTTAGAGGGAAAAAGTACTGTGTTGTCTCCTGTGCCCACAAGAGGGCGCAAGCGAGCGCAATAAGCAAATAAACCAAATCAAGCATCGCATCTTTTGTTGAAATGAAGTGACGTTCACTTTTTAAAGTGCATTAACTTTTGAAACGATTGTTCTTAAATAAAATATAATTGACTTAATGTACATGCAAGGAATATAAGGTTATAATAGTGCATAAAACTAAGTGTATCAATAACATGAGAAAACGCGTCTCAACAGACAGCATATTAATGTACTATATAAACACAATACAGCAAACCTGCCATTCAGAAACAATCCACTTCTGCTCACTACACATCTACATAATGTTCGTCCAAAACACCAGACGGTGATCTTGATCTGCCGTAGGGCTGAACGATTAATCGAATCGCGATTTGAAGCGTTGCGATTAGCTTATCGCAGAAGGCTTCGATGTGGGTGCGATATAAAAAATGTCCCAGAGCAAAAGCATGACTGACCTCTTTGTGTGGCCGTCTTACTAACCAACTGAGTGAGCGCACCTCCGTTATACCCCAAAGAAGCTACTATTGGATAGAATGTAGTATTAATTTCGTTAAACGAAATCTGATGATTGTTTTTTTTTTTTGTCGACCTTTTTTTTTTCCAGGACTAAGACGAGACAACACCAACATCATTAAATGATATCTGTGACTAAATAAACATGCAATATCCTTGATGAAAGACAAGACTAAATGTAGTTACAATTTTTTTTTTTTTTTTTACCAAAATCACTCTTTTGTTTTTGTCAGGGAAAAAGAGACTGCAGTGTGATTGCAGTGTGTTCCAGCCCAATATATCCATGCAAAAATTTCCTCTGTTTCTCTGAGGAAGGCGTTTTCCTTGGTTGCTGCCCAGACCTTGAGTGATTCGACCTCAGCTACGACTCAACTCTACTGGGTCAGCAGTTGCTGCAATTCACTGCGCATCTTCTGGCTCCTAGCTCACTTCTTTCCAGTTCCATAACAGTAGATTTTTCCCGGTGATTCCCCAAACCATGTGCTGCCACACACTTCTCAACCATGTGCTGCCCCACACTTCTCAACCCCCCCACCCACCACCGCTAGGCTCCACATTGATTGGATGGGGAACTCCCTACCAGTCATCCAGCTCCTTGTACTTGCGTTCCTCTCTGATGCCTCCTGCTTACCCTTTCCCCAGGGTTCTGCCAGCTCCATCAGAACAAATTTATTCTCCTCTGGGTTACAAATATATGTCTGGTTCCAGGGTTGAACTGAAACCTTCAACCTAGGTCCATGTCCACTCCCTTGGCAATAGTGCAACACATTTGACCTTGGTGTGAAATTAGGATGAGTTTGTCTTATTCTTTAAAGAAATTGCATATGCCTGCTCTATACCCTGACTGGATGTTTGGTCCTCCTTTCCTGTTCCAAGATGCCTGTGAGCACGGAGTACTTTATCATGGCAACACCTGTTCTTTCCCTGGGTCCCTGATGTCTTGAAGCCCGACAGGATGTGTGTCGTCGAGGTCACTCGACCAAGATCTTACACAGTAGGACCTTTCGCAATCTCCTGTGTAAAAGATTCAAAATGAGATCCAGCATCATGGAGTCATTTTTATCTTCCTTTTAAAGCTGATGTAGGTAACTTTTGTAAAAAAAATATATATATTTTTTACATATGTTAAAACTCATTATGTCCTGACAGTAGAATATGAGACGGATAATCTGTGAAAAAATCAAGCTCCTCCCAGTGGTCCTATTGCCATTTGCAGAAATACACGCTCCCGGTCAGAAACCACTAATCAGAGCCAGGAGGAATGTCTTAGCAGTGTCAATCACGCTCGTGTACACGCTGATCACACCCCTCTCTTGCACAGCGTGTACCAGTCGTTCAAACCAAACTCAAGATTGCCGGTGTGCCGCAGCTGTGCTAATGGCGGAGAAACAACCTAAACTGGAAATTTCTGGAGTGGCACCTACTCATAAAACAAAGACGGGTAAAAGGAAGAAGACCGATGGCGAAAAACAAGCGAAAAAGAATTAGAGCCCATTGACTCGGTGTCAAAACTCTAGCCGCGTAACATGTAGATAAAATGTCACGCACTGTGCAAAGCAACAATTGAAACCTAATTCACTGGCTTGTCATGTTGCTGAAATAATGTTGCGGCGAGCAGGACGAGGCCGAGGGACATGAGAGCGGCGCGAGGCCGGTGGCGTGAGTGATAATGAACGACACCTGTGAGACGCACCGGTCTCGTATCTCTCACGGAGGAGCGGAAGCGTAAAGGAGGAGCGACGACAGTGAAGATCGAGAGAGGAACAGGCCTGATTTTACGTTGTGATTTTATGTTGTGATTTTATGTTCTGTTTTGTGCGCCAGCAGTCGTACGTGAGGGGCTACTGGCTTATACTTTCATTTTGTATTTGTTTATTTATTATTAAACTTGTTGAACCTTCGCCGGTTCCTGCCTCCTTCTTCCCATAACAACTGAACCCTGTTACAACTGTACTAGCTAGTGCTGTAGCGGCGCGTCTACGTCATTTTTTTGCGTTGACACTTATTTATTTTTTGCGTTGTTCCCGGCGGTACAGCTCGCCACACACACGTGGGAGACCGAAACATTGCAGAATGGAGGACAAAAAGTGAATGTGCTTTTTTTTTTAAATTAATCGCACACAGTAAACAAAACCTTAACAAAAAAAACGTTGCAATTTAGAAGCGCAAACTGCGTGCCGGTGCGGTGAGACGGACACGCTCGGGCAGATTCGGCTTGAAGTCGTTCATCCTCGGATGCGGCGCCGCGCGCTGTTACAAAAAAAGCCGTGCACACAGCCAAGCGAAATGGGGTCTTGCGCACCCAACGCACACGACCGCCCAGTGCCCACACCGCACGCACCTCCGCGTGCGGACACGCCGAGTATAAACAAGACCTCCGTGTCAGCGCGCACTCTGGTCGGTAAAGGGGCACAGACTCTCCCGAATCATCTCCAGCAGTAGCAGCCTCCGAAGCACCACTAACTCCGCCTCCATTTCCCTCGTAAGCTGATATTAGTATTTAAACATTCTCTATAATAAAAAATGTTTGTAAAAAATATTTTAATAACACGGTTTTGGTGGTTATAGAGTTCTAATGACGGTGTTCTACTATAACCGTCGGACTCACGGTTATATAATAACCGTCACACCCCTATTTTGTAGCTTGAGCTCTGCACACTTTAGTGGTTCTAGCTGACCATCTTAGCTCTCCGTGCAGTTTGTTCATGCTTTCAGTGATTCAGTACGCCAGTTCGTATTTTCTTGAGATACATTATGGTTTTTTATTAATCGAGCTGCAGAAAAATAATCATTATATTTAGGGATGGGAAACGAGAACCGGTTCTTCTTCAGAACCAGTTCCCAGTGAACCAATTCCCTGGAACCGTTAGTATGCCTGCTTAACGATTCCGCTTATCGGTTCCGCTCGTTGCAAATGTGTCATGACGTCACACACGCGCTGATGAGTTATTGATTCAGAACGCAGCAAACATGGCATCGAGACAGAAGCGCTCGTTTGGTTATATTTCACGCGAAAAGACGACAATATATGAGGTGCCGTCTAGGGCTTAAATCAATCTTCATTCACCCACACATATATGAAACACTTGCATATACACGTATACGAAGTAGTCAAACATACATGTATACTGCTGAATGCTCAAACAAATACATATGAAATGCACAACGACACACCTAAAGTCGCTCACGCATGCACACAAACTCTACACACACGAGATGCGCGAAACTCTCCAGGCACATACTTATAGACGCGCGCACACACAAACTCAAATGAGACGCGCGCACACACAAACTCTTCACGCACATACTCATGAGACGCGAGCGCACACACACTCAATGAGAGTATGACGGCGCCTCATAACAATATGGTCACTTGCAACACCTGTAAAATTTCCATTTCGTCAAAGGGGGGGACCTCCAGCCTAGAAATCTAGACGCACCCTAGCGGCAGCGAAAATTATTTCGCAGCCAGTGTGGTCTAGCAACTCTCCATAGGCTTTTGAGCTGTAAAAACCAAAAACTGGTCAGGCCAATCACATCGTGTATAGAGTCGGCGGGCGGGCTTAACACAATGACGGCACAGTTCATGACGTTCCGCGTGATTTCCATAGGTGATTTTCCTGCTACTTGAAAACAATGAAGATGCAGCGGTCTTTCGAATCGGCTTTGGCCGCGACTCTGGAGGACTTGGAGTTAAGAGAACGTCACTTAAGTCATTCTTAAAAAAGGAAGATGTGTTCGGAGTTTTACCGACCTGATACGGCAAAAGTTGAATATATCAATTAGCTCCGCTGGTGGAAAAACGCATGGGACTCACTCATCCACAACCGTTCGTTGCTCTGGTTGGTTGTAGCGCTATCCTATTGCGTGCAGAGGGATTTTGAAAGGTAACCGTTTATCCCGCCCCTCGGATTGAGGCATGTCAATGGAGAGTTCCCAGACCTAACATCTTGATGTAGGTCTGGCATGCCAGGCTAGGGGACCTCCAATATGCAGAAACATTTGGCCACACAGCATGAACAGACTTTAGTCCCATGAAACTTAAACTGGAATGTCATTATGTCACTGTTTCTGTCACTGCGACTTCACGAACAGGTGAACACGCGCACGCACGCACACATCACTTTTGAAGTAAAATTGAGGATGCAGTGCATGTAATGCATCGAGATATCGAATTGAACTGAATCGATGACATGATAATCGTAATCGAACCGTGATACCAGTGTAGGTTCACACCCCTAATACTCTGTGCTGTGTCAGCGAGTTAATAATAATTAACAAACAAATAAGTTATAAGTTCAATAAGTTAATACAAACGAACAAATTTGTACTTATTCCCTCACCCAATGAGAATCGATAAGGAATCGAATCAATAAGCAATATCGATAATGGAATCGGAATCGTTAAATTCTCATCAATTCCCATCCCTAGTTATATTAATCGTCCAATTAGTCGTTAGATTAGTCGACTAATCAATAAAATAATCGCCCGACTAATCGCTTAAATTAATAATCGTTTACCCCAGCCCTAGTACTAGCAAACCTTATCTAGCATTAGGCCTACATATCGCTAGAATAATTACTTGAATTATATTATATATGTTAGTTACCGTTATATTATCTTACTAGCTATTTATAACTTATAGAAAGGGTGCAACGTTATAAAGTTACATTACATGTATTGCAAAATACGTAATGATTTGAGGACCAAGTTTGTAGTCAAAGTATGGGCAGGCCTTAGTCAATGTAAAGCATATTGTTGATGTTTCGTCCCTATTAGTGAATGTGCCGTAACTGTTTATCCACCGTCATCGGTGGCCCTGTTTACTAGGCTGCGCGTTCACGACGGGCTCCGCTGTGGAGGACGAGCTGTGGAGGGAGGGCTGTAGCGCAGCAGAGAGCAAGGGGGTGGGACCTGGAAGTTGTGCTTGTTCAAATTTTCAGGCTAAGTCAACGTTTTCTCAAAACTCCCTACTGGAGCTTTAAGGAGGGCCCACCTTGCCCAGCAACCTTGAAGAGGAACCTTGAACCTCCTACTTTCCACCATGCTTTCCCAGTTTCTCACTTCTGCTTAGACTGTCTTGCATCGTTGAGCTAGATTAGAGATGGGCAACTGTGGTCCTCTAGGTCCACTGTCCTGCAGATTGTATCTCCACCCCTAATCAAACATACCTGAAGAGTCTAACTAAAGACTTCTGGATTACTTTAAAATGAGGGTTTTTGATTAGGGTTGGAGTTAAACTCTGCAGGAGAGTGGACCTTGGGGTCTAGAGCTGGCCACCATTGGGCTAGATTGTCCCTTCTGCTAGAAGTGTAATATGCTAAGACTCTGCCTTCCAGTGCTTGGGCTTCCTGTGATGTTCCCTGGCCTGAGTGGCCACTCCATCTGAGCTACCGGTGCACTAGGAAGCCCCTTGCACCATGTTTCTGTGGAAATGTTAACCTATATGTCTCAATGGTCTTTGTAGTTCCTGTAGGTCAAAAGCCAAATTTAAAAACGTGGGGGTGACTCAACTGCAATAACTATTTCTTCAGTTCGATTCTGTGCAGAGACTACACACACAATATAAGTGTGGTTATCACCTGACACTTTCTGTTGTCGCTCCTGAACTGTGTGTACCAAACTGGATTAAGCTCTCTGCAATAACTTTATTTAGCTGCTGTGTGTGGGTGTCTCTTGAAATGCTGATTTAAGATTTCTCCAATTAATATTTATAATTGAGTGTGTGTGACTGGATTATGATCTGTTTTTAATCAAATTATTCCATTAACACAATTCACCAGATTTTGTCTTCTAACCAGCACTGATTTCCTGGTCAGGGTGGCTGCGGTTCTTAACATTTTTGGCTGTGAACTGTCAGATTTTGTCACTTTATCGTATGTCTCTTAACTTTTGCCATTTCTGTAATGCAGGTCACACCAGTCCGGCTCTGGACGCTCTCCGAAAAAGCCCCCTAGTGGAGCCTTCTGCCCCATCAGCACCTGCGGTCACCACTGCCCTCACGGCATTGGGCCGCAAGAGCCCCGTGTCAACTCGTGCAGCCTCCACCAATACCCAGATGCCTGTGGACCTCGCGGAGCAGATGAGGGGTGAGGAGATATTTTGACGGTTGCAGTTCAGCGTTACTACATTTCCAAATGGAAACATTTCCTTTCTTTCAACAAAGAATTCGTGCCCATTGGTTTCTGAACTGCCCTACAGAACATGAAATGAGTCATGGCGCCCTCTTGTGGTCTGTACACATGACCGTAACGTGTGATTGACCAACACAATCAGATCGAAAGTGGGAAGTGTCGACTTGGGGATTCCCACCCCAGACTTCATCTGCCATGTGGCAGTAGTGAAGCTTGTATTTGAGTCTCAAGGCCCGTTCACACCAAGGACGATAAAGATGTGTGACGAAAAGACGAAAATCGTTCTCAATATTAAAGAATAGCAGAGTTCACACCACAGATATAACGATATAGAGAAACGATATCTTGGATCACTTGAAAAAACTAAAGTTTTTGAAAGATAAAACACTGACAGCCAATCAGAAGCCATTCTAATTTAAGGGCTTGCGCATTTAAAAAGGCAGGCGACATTGCGGAGCAGTTAATCTCCGAGGTCCACCACTGTTTGACAAGTCAAGCCCCTTTTCAAGAAAATGGATGTGGAAAACAATCGTTCATACCCTCTGAATAAGCAGAAGTATTACCTCAGGTATCCAGCACTCGTTTCCACAACATTGTCTTGCTTTCTTTGAAGTTGCAGTGAAAAAAAGACTAGGTGTTGTTTTTTAGTCCACTATATTGACTACGTCAGCTAAATTCACCGTTAGATTATTAGCTCGATTACACTAGCTTCACTCGAAGCATAGCATGCTGAGGACATCTGCTGGTTAAAGCCGTGTAAATGCAACAAGAACAGCAAAAACATGCTCAATGACGTTCTACACACTTTGCAACCGCACCAAACAGACCGTTGTCGTTCGTTGGTGCGGACGCAAATATAGTTGTCATTATAGTTATTGTTCTTGGTGTGAACGGCCCTTAACTCCTAGTGTGGAGAACATGTTTTAACATCCAAGGTAATTTAAATGTGTCATGCCAGTCTAGCCAAACTGTTGTTGTTGTTTTAACATTAAGAACGTTAGGCCCTTCAGGTCCGTTCACACACACCGAGAACAATAACTATAAAGATAACGATAGATCCAGTTCTAAAAATAATTCAAGATATAAAAGAGTCCATACTACAGCAATGGCACGGAGAAATGATATTGTTGGAATCACTTTCATGATATATGATATAAACCAATCAGAATCCACTCAACTTGAAAGGGCTTTTGAAGCGGCAGACGACAAAACTGAACGATATTGTTGTTCTCGTTATAGATATCTTTATTGTTATCGTTCTTGGTGTGAACGGGCCTGTAGTAGTTCTGCAATAACGTTTGGGCCTCTGATGCCCCAAAATGCTGTTCAGGTAGGTAGTTTAGTTAAGACACAGCCTTTGACTCAGGCTGTTAGTTACTTGACAAACTTGATGGATTCTGGATAGCCTATAATTTTAAAGCCCTTTTATTAGTGCTTCAATAGAATCAATAGAATAGAGATGTATGACACCGTTTGAGCAATGCCAGTGTTAAAACAGGTTCTGCTACGCGCATTTGGTAAAGCTTAATGTGTCATAGTCCTGAAGAGCTATACTCTCCCAGGTACTGATGTCCCGAAACCAAGCGAACCAGAGTCCAGTCAGTCCAGAGGAGGCAACGGAGACGCGACTAAGCGGCTCGCAGGTTATAACACCTCTGCTGAAAGCCCCTCACTGCATCGATGCTAAAACTGCATGATTCCTATAAGAGCTTCGCCCGTCTGTATTTCACATCTGTCCATAGACTTTCTTCATTTATCGGAACTTGAAAGGGTGAATCTCATGCATCCTGATGAGAACATGCTTCACCCCAAACTCAAAAGGGAGAAAAAAATGCATTAAGCAGATAATGCATTATTTACTTGCTTTGCTGGCCTGAGTGTTTTCATGCGATTCACTCAAAACGCTGTTTTTACCTGTCATTATACCTTTAAATGTTTTAAGCAGACGGCTTAAACAGCTGTTTTGAGGGGTTTCTACACCCTAGACACAGTAGAAAATGTGTTTGCACTGCTCTGTGTGGAAAGGGCTTTGTGTCCTTGCGATACTTGGGTAGCTGTGTTCACCCAAGCTGTATTTGTTGACTTTCATAGTGATCGGCTTGATTTACCTCCTCTTCAGTAGACAACTGCTGCATTTTTCGACTACACCAACAACTAAATGTAGCTAATGTCTTTGAAGGCCTCTATGAGGTGCTAATAGACTTTTTTATATTTCTAGCAACTGAACGTCATAAAGCAAGCTTAGAATGGATCCTTTTTTTGCAATCTTTGATTTATTTTTATATATGGCCCACTGTAAAAGTATGTATTAATGTCGACATGTGTTTTGTAGAGCGATGACCCAGTGTTTGTGTGTTTTCAGCTGCTGGCCATCCTGCTGCTCGCCGCGGGCGCGCTGGAGGTCATCGCGGTCGAGGTCGGTTCCCTGTGCGCAGAGAAGGACCTATGAAGTTTGAGAAAGACTTTGACTTTGAGAGCGCCAATGCTCAGTTCAACAAAGATGAGATTGACAAGGAGTTCCAGAGCAAACTCAAGCTGAAAGGTACAAACTGACTACCAAATGTGCCAGATCAGCTTTATTTATTATAGAAATGATATGCTTTTAAAAGTATGTTAACTGTAAACAGTGTAATGTTTTTGGACACTTAAATGCTTGTTAATTGCAAGGAAAGTGTATTAGTTTAAATTAGGGCTGTCAGTTAAATACGTTAACGCAATCCCATTTTACCGGCGTTAGTTTTCTCGCGCGATTAACTGTCTTTTTGGCCAAGCAAACTTTGTCGTTTTTTCACATGCTTTTGCAACAGGACGCGGCATGCGCGATGAAACCCATTCATTTCTATGGCTTGCGCCACATGAGGACGTTTTGTTGCTTCGTCGACCAAAGCGCAAGCAGATCTTATGTCTAGACCGGAAACAAAACAACAGGCACGACGCCGGCGCCGCACACACTTGTTTGGGCTTGCGAGCCGGCCAAATAGTTGGTTAACGTTACGTTTTGAGTGGATGACGAGCGCGAGACGCCGAAATGGATGCCAATAAGATTCTGAATGGAAAGTTTACTTTTAAAAAGTTGCCAAATGGTTCCATTGACAAGACCAAAGTGATCTGTGTGTTTTGTCGTTGTGAACACACACACACACACACACACACACACAGCTGATGCGAATTCTCCGCCCCCTCGTCAATATCAGGACCTCGTCAGTATTTCTTTCACCCTTTTATTGAAGGACAGTGTTACACTGTGTGAGAGATTATTTGCTCCAAGTGAGAATGTTAGTGTGAAATTGAACACAGTATTGTCAATGTTGTTTTCAATAATAAAAAAACATTTGCACAAAGCAAGCCGATCCACTTTTCCATGTTGAAAAGAGCATTAAAATGAGAAAAAAGAATGGGTCAAAAAGAAATCAAGAGACATTTAGAATAGATAAAAATGTGCGATTAATTGCGAGTTAACTATGACATTAATGCGATTAATCACGATTAAATATTTTAATCGTTTGACAGCACTAGTTTAAATTTGTTAGTTGAACTTTATAGTGCTTTTCTTGACCTTTTTAGGGCTTAAGTACTTTATTTGTTATTTATTTTTTCCCCCACAGTGTTAAATATAGTTCAAGTGTACTAACATTTATGCCAAACTAAATATACTTAAGTGTAATTTTTGTTGAAGCTTGTGTGTCATGTATTTAAATAATTACATTTATAATGATCATGCAATTTAGTACATATTAATATATTTACTTTAAACGTAGTATCGAATAACACTACAGTTAAAATTATAATCAAGCGCTTGTGCTGTAGTATGTTAGTCAATGCATCAAAATAAGTGTACTTTAAAGCACAACAAAATATTTAGAAGAAAATAGTCTAATTTGACATTACAAAGGGCACTTTTTTTGTGAAACATAAAAGTGTCTCTTTAAGTGGCCTTTTATTTCATTAATGTCATATTAGTACAAGTACAGTGCTTTTTCATAGTTTTCAGATCTGACGTACACTGCAAGTGCACATACAGTTAAGCACACCTTTTTACAAAGGAGAGTAAAGGAAAGGGCCTCCTCGTGTTGTAGTCCAACACACATGCAGGTATAGATCTGTGTTATTGTGTGTGTTTGTTCAGATGAGAAGCCCGAGAAAGCTTTGAATGGCGAGGATAAGGCTGATTCGGGAGTCGACACTCAGAACAGTGAAGGAAACGCCGATGAGGAAGTTCCTCTCGGATCAAACTGCTACTACGACAAAACCAAGTCCTTTTTCGACAACATCTCCTGTGATGATACAAGGTCAGATGAGCCTCCATGTGGAAACTCTCACTGTTGGTACATGATGCAGCAACCATGATCTGACTGTGAAATGATTGTGCGTGATTTTAAACAGGAAGGCAGCCGAGAGGTCTGGAGGATCCGGTTTCCCCCGGTGAGTCCAACAGGAGGCCAGCGGCTGTATGGCAGAGGAAGCAAGCCGCAGTTTGCATGGAAACTTTGTGAAATGTATTTGAGCTTGTTTTAATTTCAGGAGGAATACCTGGGCGGAGGAGCGGAGGATGAACGCGGAGACGTTTGGCATCCCGTTGCGACGGGGCCGCGGAGGGTTCAGAGGTCGCGGAGGCATGGGCTTCAGGGGGGGCCGGGGCCGTGGGTTCAGTCGGGGCTCGTTCGGGTCGTACCCGGGTGGAAGTGGCTTCAGAGGAGCGTTCAGAGGCAGTCAAGGAGGAAGAGAGTTCGCTGATTTTGAGTACCGGGTAATGAATGATTCTTGTGATAAAGATCAATACACTTCTAAAATATTTGGCACTTTCCTCTAGTAGGGCATAAAATATATATCTAACATAAAATAGCAGGTAGGAATGGGCACCGACACTGAACTATGAAAGGCTGCTGTATCGATGAGCTCTGACGATCATATTAAACCATTTGTCTGATGCAGTTTTGCTATTCGCTGTCCAGAAGAGAGAGATCGCACGACACCACAGCCCCGGCTTAACTAGTGACGGTGGCCGAGAGAAATAACATTCAAACGCTCACACTTAAGACCTGTGATGTATGCTGATTTCACGCAGCCGCCATTTTTAAATAGAAAGCGAGGCTCCGGTAAGAAAGAAAACCGGAAGTGTCGCCTTTAATCAGGAGTGTCGCGAATACGATGGTGTATTGTTGTGTTTAATGTAGAAATTAGTTATTCTAAAAATGTACATACATTTCTTTCATTCTTTAGACTGTATACAGTGAAATTAATTTACAAATAAAATTATTTTTTATATATAATTCAGAACGTAAAAAAAGAAGCAGGAACGAACTATAGACATATCCTGTATTATATATTGGATATTAACATCCAATAGTGTAAATGGCGGCAGCAGCTTCAGGTTGGGAGTCCAAGGCATTGTTGTCTATCTGTACTTCCGGTTTTCTTCCCACCGGAGCCTCGCTTTCGATTTCAAAATGGCGGCTGCGTGAAATCAGCGTATTGATCTAATTTTATTTTTGATTTCGGCTTTCAAGGATTAAAAAAATAATAATATATTTGAGGTAAAACTATTACAAGCTAGCCGCGATTTGTCTAGTGCAACTTCCTCCCCTTCACAGCGGTGCGCTGTCATTTCTCCCTAAAACCCGAACTACACGTCAGAATCAGCACAACCAGGGATTGCTGTAGAATGCCATCCATCCATCCATCCATCCATCCATCCATCCATCCATCCATCCATCCATCCATCCATCCATCCATCCATCCATCCATCCATCCATCCATCCATCCATCCATCCATCCATCCATCCATCCATCCATCCATCCATCCATCCATCCATCCATCCATCCATCCATCCATCCATCCATCCATCCATCCATCCATCCATCCATCCATCCATCCATCCATCCATCCATCCATCCATCTTCTCTCCGTTTTGGCCTTTCATCCACACCGAGACAGTGATTTTTATTAATAAAAACAAAGCTTTTCGAAAACACTATTTTCTCGTTCTAGTGTGGACTTTGAAAACGATGACGCATGTCTAGTCATGTGACATCAATAGATTCTTAAATGTATGGGAAATATGAGTGCTATTAGCCAACAGTAGATTAGCTAGCCTGAAGAGTGTACAACCCTGTGTTAGGTTTTTATTTGTGATATTTAATGTTAAAGGGATACTTCAGGATTTAGCATTAAGCTTTGTATTAGTAGGAAACCTGTAGTATTTTCAAATTACCGTGCTTTCCACCCTCATATCCCCCTGAGACGAGAGACGATTTAGCTTTTTTTGGAAGCTAAGCTAGCAGGCTCTTGTTCTGTGGAGAAAGCTGAGTAGTAGGGGTTACCATCCTCTTTTTCCCGGACATGTGCGGCCGTCGAGATCGTACAAAATGTCCGGGATTCAGCTTTTGCTTTCTGCAGTCGCCATTCATTGTTTACATGCACACCTTTTGTTTCAATCTAACTGAATTCATTCCGATTGGTGAATCTGTATGTAGTGTTTACATGAACGCCAAACATGTGATCGGTTGATGTGCGTTTTAACATTGCTAAGAAAATTCCCGCTCCTCCGTGAGAGATACGAGACCGGTGCGTCTCACAGGTGTCGCTCATCGGTAATCACACCACCGGCCTCGTGCCGTTCTCCCGCGGCCCTCACTCGTCCTGCTCGCCACAGTAAACATGATGAATGGCGACTGTAGAAAGCAAAAGCCGAATCCCGGACATTTGGGGCGATTTCGAAACACATTTTCGGGCAGACTCATCACGGAGACTCACTAGTAGCCTAGACTTGTTGTTTAACTACTGCGCGCTGTTACCGGTAGGCATGGCCTCCTAGGGCAGCGAAGCAAGTGCATTCTGGGAGCCATCACATAAGCCAAAAATACATTTTCTGGCTTTTCTCAGTCTAGAATATAGAATAATTATAGAAATAATTTCACATTTCTTCTACATAAATGACCCATTTTAAATACACATTCATCTTTCCAGAGGTGAAGTATCCCTTTAATTGTTAGAATCAGGTGTTAAATATAGAAAAAAACAAACACAAAATTTGTACTTTTATGACTGTTGGTTTGTAGTTTTAACTGAAGTATGAATAACTTGATGTTTTTCTCTCTTCATTTGCTCCTCCAGAAGGACAACAAAATGGCCGCGTAGTGACGCGAGGAGAGGGATCCGGGCCGGCTGTGTGCGGGAACTGTGCGTCTCGGGTCCGAACGAGGAGATGATGTGCGTGTTGTAAATCTGTCACCAGCACTGGGGTTCGACTGCTTGAAACCTGGACATTAATGAAACATCTACTCCGTTTCTTCCTGAGGAGTGGAACAAATGCAATTTTTCCGAATTGTTAATTTGACAATAATATTTCCAGATGGATTCAAATATATTACGTCTTCTGAGGGACTTTTTGTTGTTGTGTTGACCACGCTCAACCTGAATCTGACACACCGCTGCTTACAGCTATACGGATCATCGATAATAACGCGTCGATGATTTTGATCACTGAATGAGCTTTATTTTTGACTTGTTTTGCTATAAAGTGTCCTCAGAATAGACCGCCTGGAACTAAGTTATATATATTACCATATTTTTCTAATGTAATTGCATCCCTAACCCGCAACGTCACTGTTCCTGTAGCAAGTAGGGTTTTTTTTCTTTTCTTTTTTAGATATTTACAAACGTGGTACAATTTGGTCTATAGTTGGTGATATTCCTCGAGCCGTTCGGGATTTGCGCTTCGAGGCGAGTGTCAGTATTGATAGAATTTCACTAAAAAAACAAAAACATTTTAGATAAAAAGAAAAAAAAGAAGAAAAAAAAAAACACGGAAATGCTGCCTTTGAGGGAAACAATTACTTTTCGAGTATGAAATGCCACCATTGAAACTAAAACGACACGATATGTTCAAGCGATGCGAAGTGACTCAGCGATATGTTTATATGTGATATGGATTTATATTTGAGGTTCACTTTGCAGTTTGTAGCAGACGTTTCCGGATGAGTGAATGTCCCATCTTCACTGAGAAAATAATGCTACTCTGAATCTACGCTGCGGTTACTTTGACCATGCGTTGGTCACTTTATACGCCTGTCGCTCCGCATCGGGATCCTATATCCCTCGCATCATATCCACCCTGAGCCTAGAGCTCGCTGGGACGCGGGTCTTTACGAGGATTGGAGGAGTGTGTTTAAAGTGACCGCTGAAAGCCAGAATGTTGTGTAGTATTAATGCGTTTCCCATCTCTCCTTGTGTGTTTTATAATCACTGACTGCACTAGCATGATGTCAGAGTGACACGTAACTCATGCTTTCCCTGATGTCATATCCACACCTGTAGAGCACTCAAGATGTCACTATATTTCTTTTTCTAGTCAACTTTGTTTGGCCTCTGACATCTTTACGTCGTCCTCGCAGTTTTATGGATGTGTGTCACTGAAGTTGGAAGATTTGATATTTTAACTGGCCCGTTTTGATTATCCGTTCACTTCAGATCGTATGGTCGTGACATCACTGCTAAAATGTTTAGTCTTGTTTAATGTTTGTTTAAATTGTTGGGATATTTGGGCAAGTTGATAATGAAATAAACTTTGTTTTCAGATTATATATTAAAGTATAAGTCTGTAAGGCCCAAAACACTTTGAATTGAAATATCATCTTGCACTTTTCAAGCGCTTAAATTCAGAGAATAGGCGCTTTGCTCCAGTAATACACTTTTGATTTGAATTTGACACTAGTAAATCATCTAAAGCACATGGACATGATGGAGGGTTTAGTAATGGAGCCAAGCATATTTAATTGGTCAATATGAACAGATAAAGAAGGGTTACCCCAGGAACAATAAATGTCCATGCCCTAAAATTTCACTGTTTTATATATAATTAGGAACGTTAAAGGATCCGCTAGTATTATTAGTCAGCTCATTTAATTCTGTTCCCGCCCCTTTTAGAGACTGCATTAGTTTTACACTCGTAAACCCCAGTTGTGTGTGTGTGTTCAGTGTCGGGACAGTAACGCTCGCGTGTAAACGGGGGATTGCTGCATGAAGGTCTCGTCACAAGCCGCCCGTCTTAGGCAATGCTTGTGAGGCAAATACTGTTCTGGAAATGTCTTGATCAACACAATCCTTCCATCAGGCGCGACACACTTTCCTTTTGAACCTCAGCATGGCGTCTGTTCACATCTACATGTAAAGAGGTTTTTACTAGATGCAAGAATAAACTGTTTAATATCTGTGGTGTGTTTGTTTGCTGCTTTGGGTCGAGCGGGCTTTACGCTCCATACTTTTGCTTATTTTAAAATGGCCACTTATTATGGGTTTGAAGTATACTGACTGACATTAACAACACCATAGTTTGTTACTTGTATGTCATGTGTTATGTCTGTGATTATATTTGTGATGAAGTTGCAATGAATTTAGTACATTTAAAATGTTAACTTTAAATGTAATCTCAAATAACACACTACAGTTAATTATAATGAAGTACTTCACATGTGCTCTAGTGTGTTGGTAACATAAGTGTAGTTTAAAGCATGACAGAATATGATTAAAACTGTTTAAAATGTACTTTAAAACTGATTTTAGTAGCATAGACTCTTTTGGTCTTTAATATTTTGAATTTAAAAAAAAAACATTTTCATTTTACTTTTTGTTAAAGTTTTTATGAATATTTTAGTTTTAGTTATTTTAGTTCAAGATAATCTAAACCAAATAAGAAATCGTGCCTTGACAACGAGCTAAATAAAGTGTGTGTATAAATATATATATATATATTTCAGATAACAATTATTTAAAGCAACAATTTTGTATTGCTTTAACGTTTCAGTTGTTAACCCTTCTATAAAACTGTTAATTTGACACTACAAATTCCACTTTTTAATAGTACTTTAGTGTGTGAAAGTAATGGAAATATTCCCTCTTAACAGTTACATTGCCTTTTATTTAATACATTTTATCTTCAAGTAAAGTTGTTTTTTTTAATATACCTTTAATATTTGAAGTGCACGTTAAATAAAACTAAGTGCACTTTTCACATTGGCTAGTCTGTCAAAATGCTGTGCACTCACAGAATAATAATGTTAAACAAGCTGGCCTTCTTACAAATCCAGTTACACAACACAGCTTTAATTTTGTGATTGCTTCCATCGAGTAGTGACAAACCAGCAAATGTACACTAATGTAATAATAAAAAAGAAATTAATTTTTAAAAACACTTCAACTTAGTGGAAAACGTTGCTATAGTTTAATGACACCCTTTAGTGCCCTTTGTAGCATAAAACCTGCAAAAACGTGTGCGCGGATTAATGAATTCACATATTCCTGCATAAATACATGTATAAATAAATAAATGTGCAAGAAGATAAACAATTAAACATTATTGGGGGAGAATAGGGAAGACGATTACAACTGAAGGTATTTGCTAAATATACCCGACATGTTAAGGACTAGCTAACACAATACAATTATGGTTTTAGTTAAACATCTTAATTGATTTTTCTTTTTTTTTTAAAGAGACAGACACACTATTTGCCTATATTTGACTTCAGTCCCATAAAAATATCAAAATTATCATGAATGTTACATTTATTAAATTATCATGCACGAGCAGTATGTTAGTTTTATAGCAAGTTACGTGTAAAATCCTTTTTAACTATTTACAATGTGTCCGTTACGGGGCTGAGAATAAAAGCTTTAATCCTAAAATAAAACCTGAAAATAATTAAATGTATTTTAATGCCAGAGGTGGGAAAATATGATTTGATGGAACTTTGATATGTCTAATGATGTGGGGTATTGTGAAAAATAATTAAATGTAGTAAAAAAAAACAAGTTGAAGTATTACCGAATCCCAGGAATGACCCTACTACCTTCACACACACAGTAACAAAAGTGTCTAATTAAATATATACTGTCTGTGTGTGTGCATTACATAACCATCTCACCACCGCAGCCAGTGTCACAGTGGGCGGGGCTACGCAGGATTCGCTGAGGTCACAGTGGGCGGGGCTACGCAGGATTCGCTGAGGTCACAATGGGCGTGTCAGAGTCGTGGTGGGCGTCGCTCTCGGCATTTGTCACTGGACTTCCTCCTCACGCTTCTGTACACTGAACGAGTGTTTGAACGGTTGTAATTCACTTTTGCATCTTTGGACCGAAAGAACAGCGGGATCTTTTCATCATGGGGCTCAACAGCGATCCGATCTACCGCAAACTGGAACAATGGTACAAAACCAACGCAGGAAACCTCAACATGAGGCAGATGTTCGAGGACGATCCTGACAGATTCAACAAGTTCAGGTGAAACGCACATCAAGCGCGTCTCGAGACGTGCGCGAGCTCTGCTAGACCTCATACTGATGATGTTTCCTCTCATCTGGCGTGTCTGTCAGCATCATGTGTCGTGCAGCATCTCGGTCAAAGGCCTAAATGAGCAAATCTCTCGTGTAACACAGTTTACGTACTATTTTAGTAAGATATATCATCTTAATGTTCTCGCGATGTAATATCAGGGGATGTATTAGAGTATATATGCACATATCACGAGAGTTCGCTACATGTTACCCTTGATTTCCACGTTGATGTTGCAAGGTTATTATTGCCACATCAGGCCAATAGTCCTGAGCTCCAGGTTCCGCCCTCTGCACTGTTGCACCTGCTCTATTTCCTTCATTTACTCTCATATTAATACTTTTACAGCATGCTTAACTATCTACCTGTGCTTTAAATCAGTATAAACCTAGCCATGTTAGCAGCTACACACTAACAAGGTCATGGATCTTCGGTCATATGTGTTTCTGCTGTACATGCACTATTACACGGCTCTATGTGGAAGCAAGTAGTACTAGTTTCTAGTTTGACTATTTCATGAAACACACATGATCAGGCATTTCTCAAGTGCTTTCACTGCTTATGCAATCTCTTAAAGTAGCATCACGTCCTCTACTGCGATACTTCTGGTGCATGTTCACAATACTCTTTTCCTATAAGACTTTATGAGCTGTTCTGGATTCAATTCAGACGTATTGAGTGTCCATAAAGATCTATATTAGTATTCATTAATTCTCAGGGTAGTGTTTTATAGTTGATCAACAGAGGGCGCTAAAGCAGCATGTAGTACGTGACTCTCTGCACACACTCTCTCTCGCACAAACACACACACTCACAGTCACACACTG